ATAAAGATCAAGCTCCTAGATTTCTGTGTGTTTTTTAACCATGTTTCATTTTTGCAAGCCCGACAGTAAGTTTCCAGCTCTCCTGCTTGTGGCTGGAGTTTCAAAACATAGCTCAAATGCTGTCCAGAGAACAACAATAAATAAAGGAGAACTCCAGCAGTTGTTTTTATTAATATTATTAATTCTATTATTTCTCTATTCTTTCTGTCTAGTCTTGTCGTCTTACGATTTTTGAATCCTTCAGGTTGATTAGGGTGCTGCTGCTTCTTCCTTGTATTACTGCACAGAACATAATCAATGTAATGAAGAATCAGGACCTTTCCTGATCTTACATACAACGCTCAGATCACTCCTTTTCCTTGCTTCTCTCCCTTCTGCAGTTGAATCATCAATACTTGGAAGGCATTTCCAGAAAGCAAAGAATGTTGCTTTCACATCAGAATCTTTCCTCACTTCTGTAACATTGGTAGTGACCTCATCAGTGTGTATGAAGTTCTGCTGAGGTTATAGATTTTGTACTGAGGTGGGAGGCACCATAGAAAAATATGCAGTGTGTAGTACTGTTTATGGCAAAGCCTAGTGTGTCTGTGTTGGGGGAGAATGCAATACAGCTTGGATTTTCTTTGGAGCTGCTATGGTGCAATTCGGTCACTAACAATTTAGCCATAACATCCTGAAGCTATGCTCATCAGAAGAACAGGGACAAGCTTCGTCGTGCCTTTCTGATAAAGGCATCCTGTTCCTTGCCATTTTCCATGATATAGTGGAGTGGAATTTTAAACTGAAGCTCTATCAGGTGGAATTATATTATAGCACGGAGTGGAATTTTAAACTGAAGCCTCCTCTATCAGGTGGAATTATATTATAGCAGCCAAATAGCTTGAATTCTCTTCTCGGTATGTCACATGGCAATTTTTTTTAAGGTAAGGGGTCTCTCTGCTCACCATTGCTGTTTTGTGTGTACACGTGTGGCAATGGCACTAAATGAAAGAGAAGAAATGCAGTAACTGTATTTTACAAGATAGGAGTGAGAAAGATGGGCCAATATTTTTCAGTGCAGATATTCTAAAAAAAAAAAAAATAGCATGTTGAGTTTGGTTTTATTGAAATGCTGTGGAGTCCTATAATGATGCTAAATAAATATGAGGAAGGTAAACTATAGCCTGAGGTCTCAGTGAAAGTTGTAAATTTACAAACAACAGACACGAAGCAAACAAGTCAATCAACTTTGGGTGAGCCGTACTGTTTATAGGGTTTGGGGAAGCCATAAATAAGAGGTGAACCAGAGTAAAAGTGCTGTCCCACAAGCCTGACTCCACCAGAAACCATGGAAGTGATACTTCTTATGTGGCTGCTCCTGTGTGTATTTCATAATGTCAAACCCAGGTATTGGCTTGCATGCATTTTAACCAGGATGACTCCTCTATGCTGAGTGGTTGACTGAAAGGTTTATAGCCAAGAAACCACTGTCTTTTGTTTGGAGCCCAGCTCATGGACAAAGAAGCAACAAAAGCTAAAATTAGTCTTCCTGTGCACGTCAAAACAAGAAAACAAACTTCAGAGAGTAGATGAAAAAACCCACATTTTAGGAAACAAGCATCCAGATTTTAGAGTGACAGGCATGCAAATCTGGGTTGTCTCAGTTATTTTCCCAGTACACGCACAGTCTGGCTTACGCATATTGAAAGATTGTTTTTGCCCAAAGCGTTTAAGTGACTTTGGTCACCTTAATAAAAGCAAGCTTAAAGAGTTTGCTGGTGTTGTGTGAACTAGGCAATAAAGTGGTCAAGTAGTCTTGGAGATGTGCATACAAGTGAATATCAAAAGAGGAGCAGTGTTAGTGTTCCTGGGCCACTCATACTTGTGGGCCCAGCAGAGGATGAGTGAATACACCTCCTTAGGGAAAAGTCATTTTGTCATTTTCCAGATAGGCTTTCAATTGATTAGAGACAGTTTTGAGTTCATGTGACTTAGAAGCAGACCTGTGTTTCCTTGATTTCTAAGTGCTCGGATTCTGGTAGCAGGCTAAGGTGAGAAGACAGCAGCAAGCTCATATCTGGTTCTGGATTTCACCATGGGCCTTTTTCAGAGATTGACAAGCCCAATTTCGATGTTGGCCTCAGTGAAACTTGGCTTTAACCCACTTAGTTTGGAACTGTCTGGATGCCTGAGTTATCAGACTGAACAAAACAGAGCTGAACAAACAACACATCAATACCTGCTGGAGCAGTATGACAGTATGAAGGAAAGAAAACTGCAATGTCGACTTCAGTCAGATTGGAGTGTGGAAAAAAAATGGTTTGTACACATGGACAGTTCATCCATGTACCTTGACCTGCCAGAGAAGTGAAAAGAGAGGCACTGCTTTGTCAGCCTTTATTATGAGAATTTGGGGCAGGAAATTGAAGTACAGTCAGTTGTGGAAGTTCTAAACACCATTAGCTTTTTCCCTTGATTTAACCTGGCCTATCTACTCAGCTTACTATTGGTTGAATTAAAGGCAACCATTCTTGACTTAGAAACGTAAGGTTTATGACCTTAAAGCAGATTGCTGGTTCCCAGCTAGCATTTATTTATTTATTTTTAATCAAGTTGCTTCTTTGGAGATCCCTCCTTGGAAGACGTTCAAACATATTTTCATCTATTTGTTCCAGTGGGTGAGTCTTGGCAGAACCTGGCATAGCTGCGAACACACAGAAATGAGCCCTGCCTATCTAACTTCTGCGTCATTTGTGAGGATCATGTATGTGTCTGTTCTAAGTGTTGGTGGGACCAAAGAAGAATGTCGAAGGGCAGTGTCTGAGAGAAATGCACACAGTTCTGCAGCTACACAGTGAAACACAGTCTCATTAGCTCAGAGCTCATTAGCTCAGAGCTAAGGCAGTGTAGATGTAGATGCACACAGTGCTGCAGCTACACAGTGAAACAGGCTCATCAGCTCAGAGCTAAGGCAGTGTAGATGTAGCCCAAGTACATCCAGTTTGAGCACCAAGCCCCTGTTCACTGTACTCAGTTGTGTGGTGTAGACAGGGGAGCTTGGATGAGTCAATCTCTGTGGGCCATCTTTGGAAACAGTGCTTCCTTAATACTTGTCTACATTGCTTGTCCAAGCTTTTAGGGCCACAGGTTGTGTGTTACAGGGCACAGGGACAGTACCATTTAATCAAGGTGCTTGCTCATTATCGTGAACTACCTAAATGAATACAACTGTCAGTGTCTCTTCAATATGTGGTAAATAGACAGTGCCATGCAATAGAGTGGAGCAATTTACCATCATGATGAATTTATAAATATACATTTTATATGTATTAATATATATCATATAATATATTGTTATATATCAGATTCAAGACCTTTTGAGCTCCTACTTCAATGAGAGTTTGTTCTTATATTTCACTTTTGGGAATTACTGTAACAGGAATACTTAAGGAGAAGAAATGTTTACCTCAGCCTGTAGCATATTGCCAGCATTCTCCACCCTAATAAGTCTCCCAGTGAGCTCATCCTAACCCTCCCCTGTATGCAGGAGTTTCCTCTGTACCATTAAATTCATTAGGAGTTTTGAAATTGATTACAAATTGCAGTAATATCAGAGACCTTAAGTCAGTACTACAGCTTGCTAGCAAAGAGAAGGACATGGGATTTGGATGAGGAGAGAGGGAAAGACTTTTCTGTCAGTACTTCACAAAGGCTCTGAAATCTGTTGAAAATGTTAGCAAGCAGGCTTTTTATTTCCTTGTGGAAAAAGCACATATATTTAATTCCTGCAATGAAATGTTTCTGATAGGAAGAAAAAAAAATCTCAGCTAGTGGAAGAAGAAGGGGAAAATTGCAAATCCCTGGTTGCCTGTTGTTGACTAGCAACATTTGGCCATCTAGAACAATATGAACCTAGTTAGAACACACCAGTGACTGCAAGGGAAGTGTTGTACTGCATAAAGCCTGGCATCTCTTTACATTGGGTCAACCTTCTTTTCCAAATATATTACACAGTGAATCAGATTGAAACTGTTGTACTCAGTCTACTCCACTTCAGATAGTTGCATAGTCATTTTAGCTTTAGAAAAAAGTTTATGTTGGCATTTTCTGTTCCTTGTAGTCATGCTGTGCTTTCAGAATAGCTTTCAAACTAAAAATATGTTTCCTGAAATTCATACGTTGGGATAAATAACATCTCTTCCATTACTGCTACCACGGTGAAGCAGAGAGAGAGACTTTTTCAGAACCAGTAAGCAAGTAAAGTTTTCAATGCCTGGGTGTAGAAATGTAGCTATTGTAGAATTTCACAAGGCAGGCTTTCATTGCAAGCTTGCTTGAGCCCTGTAACAGCCCAGCAGCAGCCTACATGAGACGCACAGATGTCCTGTTGCTGCACAGATACCCTGTTGCATTTCCACAGTGTCTGGAAGACCACCTGCCTCAAACTGGCCGCCAGTCCCAGCTATAGGTTTTGCTGTGTGAGCCGTAATCAGATTAGGGATAACACCCAAGTTACGCCTCAGGTTAGGGAAGGCATGTTTGCAAAATTGATCAAGAGCTGTGTCATAAGGCAGTCACACACCTAGTGTGCATTCCCAGCGTGTTTTGCACTGCAGTATCGACAGCTGCGGTGGCACACAGCGCGCGATGCAGGATCCTGCACAAGGGACCCGCACACTGCCTGCGAATAATGCAGGGACGCAGCTGCAGAGGAGTTTGTCCAGTGCAAACTGAACTCAAAGCAAGTTTGATTCTGCAGATCACTGAGCAACTTCTGCTCTTGCTGAAGACAATAGAAATGGACTTCACTTTGCAAATTTGCTTTGGTTAGCCTGGTCTAGACAGAGTGGCACTTTCTCTGTTGCAAACAAAACTGGTAGCTGGGCAAGGTCAGAGATTTTCTGATTTAAGATGGGTGGGCTGCGGATGAAAAACATGCCTTCATAACGAGCAATAATAGAATCCATTAATTTACCATTATTGATGAGTTTGCTTCTCTCTTTTTTTTTCTATAAGCTGAAATTAGGTCACCCATAGACATGAGTAAGGAAAATGGATTCCAAGTGCGCAACCTGTGCAAATTTTGTGACATTAAAGTTACAACCTGCTTAAACCAACATGAGTGTAAGAGCAACTGCAACATCACTTCTATCTGCGAGAATAGCAATGAAGTCTGTGTTGCTATATGGTAAGTTATTTCTTGATACGGGCAAAGCAAGAAATATGCCCATATTCAGCATATTTCATCCTCACCCGTCATTACTGAGTACTTCCTAACGTGTCAGAATCTCCTTGCTACCTCGCCAGTCTCTGCTTTCTCTCTTCCATTTTGTAGCCATGCTCAGCATACTGAGAGTTACTTGAGGTCAACAACAATTTTGATATGAAATGTTCTGTTTTTTTTTGGAGGGGTTTGTTCATTTAAGTTCTGTTCCAGGTTATGCAGTTACTGGGCTGTTACTGGAAAAGAGGCATGTTTTTGTTCAAACCATTAAACTGCATCCACCCACAGCACTCATAGAGTAGAATCAGAATTGAGACTCAGAGAAGATCATGGTGGCATTTGCTGAAGAAAAGCAGTTCTCTCTGGGTTTAACAGGAAACTAGTTTATGTACATCTATCAATTTATTTACCATTTATAGGTTTTCTCTTAGTGGGGAGAAATCATTTTTGTATATACTTTTAAATATTAGCTGTTCTAGAGTTTCTGCCTAAGTTCTGAAAAATCAGAGATATATGAAAATATTTGACTTGTAACACTTTTTTTTTAGGGATTCTTGAATCTAAAATTGCCTTCCAATCCAAAAATGAGGATTTTATTTCCCATTATCTGTAAACCAATCCTACCAAAGAAAACTAAAACCACCCTTTTGGAGTTCATAATTGCATAAAAGCAACAGAACTAAGTATTTGCAGTGTTGCTGGCTGAGTTAGGAGCATAATTAGAACCACTTAGAGAAATACATGATTTTTTTTTTGATGGAGTAGTAATGTCCATTGACTTGATGACATTCAGTGTAATCAGATACAGACACCATACACTGCAAAAGGAAATGCAGTATCAGTTTAGCCTGCACTTTTCATCTGTTCCTAGAGTAAGTGTTCACTGTTTGTTATTGTCACACAAAGTGGCTGTAGTGCAATTTAAGGTACATTCTGGATGTTTCATGCCAAATTGTCCAGAAGGCAAGTGAGTTGAGAACTATGTTTAAATTGCTCTTCCTGTCTGTCTCTTGTGTCAATGAAAGGTAATCTGTGGAACCATAACAAAACTAATGTAGGCCAGATTTTAAACTTTCAATATTTCCCCAACAGGCAGCTCTAGTCTGCACCAGTTTCTATTTTTTTTTCCCCCAAAATAAAAATGCTGAGGCTAACTCATTCAGCGCAGAAATTATGCTGATTGTAGGCTTCAAAAACCAAAAAAAAAGGAAAAGCCAACCCAGTAGAAATTCCTCAGATTTTGAGGAAATAATTCAGTTTTTATCATAATTTCCCACAGATTTTTACTGTCTGCACAGTGACCACAAAACCCAAAAGTATGTTGTGAGTTTCGCAGCAGTTCATTGAGCATTAGTTTGAATGATTTTGGGTGAGATTTTCAAAGGCACTCATTACAGCTTAGAGTAATATGATACAGGGATATCTGTGCCGTTGTACAGATGCCTCGGCATGGCCAAGTCCCAGAAAATATTCATATCCAGGAAAGCTAAAGAAAAACATATGAAGTTCTTCAAATCCCACTTGAGTTCTCAAAAGAGGCAAATTTCAGCCAAACATAGTCCTGTCTGCTTCATTTGTAAAATATCCCTTCCCTGATTTCAGTTTTCTCCTCCTTATTTTTAGGAGACAGAATGATGAAAATAAGACATTAGAAACAATATGCCACGACCCCCAGAAAAAACTCTACGGTCACACGTTGGATGACTCCAGCTCAGATAAGTGTCTAATGAAAGAAAAGAAGGAAGTTGGAGGATTGATGTTCATGTGTTCCTGTACAGGAGAAGAATGCAACGACATGCTGATTTTCTCAACAGGTTGGTTTAATGTTTTTTTCTTGCATTTCGGTGTTGTGTCTTGCAAGCAATATAAAACCTGTCTTACCAGTGGACTTCGGAGTTGCTGTTTCTGGTGGAAAACTTCCATTAGCTGAGGATATTCTTCTGAGTCTTGCAAAATCTCTACCTTTCTTTTCTGTTTCCAAGGGATATTTCTTCCTGCCAGGCTATCTTCCTTTTGAAACACTTCTGATACTCAGCCCAAGATGCTGTGCTTAAAAGCTGCTTTAATCGTGAAAGCAACCTGCTTGAAGTTGTACTTGTTGACACATCGAAGTGCAACATAGGCTAATTACCTTCTAATAACATAAAATGCTGTGTTTAACTCTATATTGCTATGGTGTGGATCTGTATCTGTATAGATATAGATCAATTCCTACACTCCTAAATAAGTATGGCACACTGCATCCATGTCCACTGTTTGTAAGGACCTCAGGAAAAGGGGAATAGCAAGGGGAAGATAACAAGAGATGGGGATAGTACTTCTACTTTTGGGAAGCATAGTGTGCACATGCACTGAAGTGGAGGACTGCAGGAATAGTTCTCAGCCCTCCAAGGTGGCTGACTAGCTTAGGTTGCAAAACCATGCCACATCAGCCAAAGGCGAGCTAAAAGGCCTCTGCTGCACTGGCCCACGTTGTCCCTATGTAGTGCCACCTCCTTACCTCTTTCTTTTCCCTTGCCCAAGCTTAGTTAGAAACAAGGAAACCTGGCTGCCAATCCATGGTTGTATGTTCACCCTTACTTAGGTGAACAAAGCTGAAATAAATACAGCTACTGATGTGAGCAGAGGCAGTAGACCCAGGACCTAATTCTAACAGATTGCCTTGATTTTATCGAAGGGAACATGTTCCCAGGGAAAAGATCTTGCTGTCTATCAGCTGCCTGGAATCTCTATACAAAGCTAACCACACCCTTGTGGATTTGGGCTAATTTGTTATAAATTAGTCATGTTATGGCAGTTTCTTCTGGAGCTTTATAACTGAATATAATCAGTCTGTCAAACATGTGTCTTCTGTGCTCATGTTTACAAAAACAGCTCCATAAATCCAATATTAAGTGCCTTCATTCCCATTTACTCTGCAGTGCCCTCAAACTGCCAGAGCAGCCTAAAGCGATGTGTAGTGTAAATGAAAACCTGTTCATCTGATTCCTTTCACTCTTTGGGTGAGTTCAGCTTTTCCTTGCAGGTCGTGTGCTGTTAGCACTGTAGGTGAGTCGTGAAAGCCATGCTCTGCATTCACATGGACTAAGTGAATAACTGCAGATAAAGACCCAAGCAACAAAAAAAGCCGCTGTTGTGCCAGTTGTACCTCTTCCAGCTCATTCACAAACACAGCCTGAACACAGGCAGTGGGGGGAGATGGAGGCTTTGCCATTCCTGTTTTATTGTTGTGGATTAGTGTTACTTTTAAACGAAAACAGCCCCTTTGGGTTGCTTGCCTGCTTAGCCATGGCAGGAAGACAAACGATTTTTACAGTATCAGACATGCGGTTTCCTGTCTGTGTTTAACTTTGAGCAGAACATCACAGCCAGCTGCTCCGTGACTCCTCCAGACAACTAGATAATAGCCTGTAATAATTTTGCCTTTAGAATGACTGTCATCCAGATCTATTCTGTACATTGTTCTTGCCTTTTTATTTTTTTTTCCTCTGTTGTACACCAGAGTGAAGATTTTTGCCATGTTTTCGCACGTCTCTTCTGTTCAGACAGACAGGACAAATGCTAGTCTAAGAAGGTCTGATCAAAATGGGCCTGTAGTCACTTCTTAGCAGAAACTGAGCCTATAAGTAAGGTCATATTCCTTCACCTATTAATTAGCACCTTTCCTGTGAAGCTGCTGCTATAGTATGTGAGGTGCATTCCAGCTCTTTTCCTGCTGGATGCACATTTAAGACAAAACCAGGTTTATTTTGTTCCTGGCGTTGCCCAGGTAAGAAATAAAAGCGTGGCTGAAGCGGCAGGTTCTGATTTCCCCAAGAGGTTAGTCACTACATTCCAGTGATTCACAGCTGGGCTGTTGTTGCTTATAAAAAAAGTGGCTTTATGGCTCTGTCAGCATGTATCGGTACCTCCCGGCTCTGTATTTAGACACCAGCATCTAAAGATTTGGGGTAGCATTGAAGTATTATGACTCACTTAAGAGTGGCTTTGGAAATATTTGAAGTGGTTGCATCCAAATCAAATGTCTGCAGGGCCTTTTTCTTTAAATTGCCAATGTGCAAAATAAACAAGATGTACTAGACGTGTGCCGAAATACTCCGGTAATTCTGCTGCTCCAGGGGCTTCTGGCCCTGATTCTGGTCACTGGCATTTCAGGCCACAAGCTGTTGGTGGAAAATATTTTGTGCCTAGCTGTTCCAAGCAGTGCTCTGTAGTTCTCAGGGAAATAATATCTGGAGACAGGTAGCCATTGTAAATTGGCTACCGCGTTTATTTTTTAACCTGTTTTTTTGCCAAACATAATTGTGGGCAACGGGCAAACAGCTTACAACCCTATGGTGGAAAAAATGCTTCTCACAGCAAAACTCAATGCCATTCTGTTTTAATTATTATTTATTCAAATGTCTAATGTCAGTGTTACCAGAAGGCAAAGCCACAGAGTGAAAACACAGGAAAAGATTAGCCAAAAGTGGGGGCAGAAAGGCCCTGGTTGGCTAGGGAGATGTTGGCTAGGTGGCAGACACAGAGACCTTGTCCTCCTGCCATGGAAAAGCTGAGTGCAGAACTGAACTACCAAGGTTTTTCTTTCATGCTGTCTAGTAGTGTCTGGTGGTTCTTCCATACAAAACGTTTTGCATTCTCAGATTTTTTTGAACTATTGTGAAGAACTGAAGCTGTTTCTAGCTGCTAGCACAGTGACTGCCTTCTCCTGGGGTTTTGGCAGCTTTGTGCCTCAGCGTTCCCCTTGCTGCACCATCTCCCAGCCTATATTCGTCAAGCAGGGAGAGCCTGACAAATCACTAACAAAGTTTGGGTTGGTTTTGTTTTACAATCCACAGCTGGTTGGCTGAGGCCAAGTCTTTTTGATGCAAAGGAAGAGGACTGTACTCTTTCCAGCCTCATATCTGACCTCTTCTGCATGGGCAGAGAGGACCAGTCACCCTCCCTATAGCATAGGAAATGGGATTTATACATGTTATGCAGTTATGCATAACATGCCTGTTAATAGTGCAGCTATGTGGTGCAGGCTCCTTCAGATACATTCATTCAGCTGCGTTTGAAAGGATGACCTCTGCATGGGACACTACAGACCGAAAACAAATCCCTTAAACCACAAGTGATGCATGCAGTGGTCATACATGCAGTTGTCATACTGGACATCCTATTCAACACAAGTAAAATTCCAGAGAGTTGGAAGTGCACAGCAGATCTATAGCTCAGCTCTTCTAGAGTTATTTCATTTTGGTTTTGTGTGTGCGTGTGTTTGTTTGGGGGGAGTTGTTTGGTTTTTTTTACTTTGTAACTATTTTTCATTCTCACTTTCTTGCTATGTCATCCAGATCTCGATGCAGTTTCCAAGTAGGTGTCAGTGGGAATATTCAGGTGGACTGTCTTTATTCCTTATGTACTGCCAGATTAGATCATTTTGGGCATTCCCACCCCATCATGTCATAGCATGGAAGAAACCTCTATTAGCAACTGTGTATACAAGTCTTAATGGTTTCCTGAGTCATCCAAGCGGTTGCCTTAAAATATCAAAACTTCAGTGACAGAGATGACTTGACTGGTCAGCAGGAGTTCATGGGGCTAACGGAGCTCTTTGGGGACGTGAGGGTGCTGTGCTGCTAACAGTTGTCACCTTGATCACAGTTTTCTTAAGTTTGTTAACTGAGAGTGCAAGAGACGCTCCGGTATTTGATTAATCAAACGCGGCTGCTCCCCGAATCACTTGCCCAGACAAACGGCAGCCTGCGCTTTCGGTGTGTGTCAGGCGCAGTGATTACTCACTGTGTACGACTGTAGCCTGGGCGACGGGTATTGTTAGCCGCAGCCACGGCGCTTCGTCCTGCGCACGGATCGCAGCAAAGCTTCCCAATGTTTCCGAGTTTCCTTAACCTGGTATCTCTCGCTTGTCTCTAACATATTTGCCCCTGTCTTTTCCTTTCTCTCTCTGTTCTCTTTCTCTCCTTGCTAGAGTCAAAGCTTTAGTGGTTTTTACTTGACTGCACGGAAGGATCTCAGACTTAAGAGCAGACTTAACAGACCTGTGCACAAACAGCCGCCAGGCCCTAAGAACTCGTGTGATGAGTTTTCTGGTGCTCGCGGAAGAGCAGAAGGGACCCGGACTGCCTCCAAGCGGCTTCTAACAAAGACTTTTCACTAACCATTTTTTCTGTTGTCCAGCTAACACGCTCAGAAGGTAACTGTCTTCCCGCTGCCCGTAAACGAGGTCAGTAGCATTGCATAACGCTGCACGCAGCCTCTCACAGCCTGTACATTGGCACTGTCTGCAATGTTTTCTCCTAGGTATTTGCAGCCAGAGAGACCCACCCAAAGGCTGCAGCTGTGAATAGCCAAAGGGGAGGCTGCCTAGCACCGAGCGCCTGATTCACGTCGTGGGATAGAAAGGAAGTGGAAGGGAAAGGGGCCAAAGAAACCAATTTTTGGTTTTGCTTTATTTTTATTGTGTGCTCCCCAGGAAAATAGCCGTGCAGAGCTTGGTTACAGATTTATGTAAAAACAAACTAGGCAGATCTCTTCAACTTTGGTTGGCGTATTTGTTACAATTTGCATCACTTGAGAGCTTAATAAGTGTGGGAATGTGGCCAACCTTTTATCGGCTTGTCATGGAAGAGAGTTTAATAATTACAGACAGAAACAAACTGTAACGAACACTGGCAACATAATATTTTGGGAAAGGTTGGAGGGGTGAAACGCAGGCTGAGAATAAAAATAATGGTTAATGTGTGGCATCTGTTGGAACATATTGAAGCTGGAGAGATTGATTTGTTCCAGAAAACCACTAGCAAACAGC